GGACTGAACGGCTGAACCGGGGGGGGGTGGGGAACTGGCTGAGGGAAACCCAGCCCGGGAGCAAGGCTGGCACTGGCGGTCAGAAAAAGCTGCAGACAACTCGGGCTCCATTGGTTGTGGGGCGCTCCTAGGGGAAAAGGCAGAATCCATCAGCCCGGTGGCAGGTGGGCGGCCGTGGAGAGGGGCCTGGGCCGGGACCACCTGATCATCTTGCAGAACATGTGCTGGCTTAAGTCTGTCAACAGAGACAACCTCCTGCCAAAGTCCAAAATGTCTCAGTTAAGAATTCCCCGAGGTCTTCGTTAACCGCGCTACGCAATCCCAGCAAAACCCAAGGAAGACGGTCGACCCAGTCGTCACCTGTTAAGGAAGCCCGGAGCGCGGCCTTGAGTGACCGGTGAAACCGCTCGCACATCCCATTAGCTTGCGGCTGGGATGCTGTGTTTCGGTGGACCTTGACCCCCAGGCCGTCAGCCATGGCAGATCAGGAAGTGATACTCTACCGCAGAGCGAGACAATGCTAAACTTAATCATCATCTTGCCCTCCTCTGACGACCTGTTTGCTGCTGCCTGCCACTGAAAGGCAGTGTTAGAGGGGACTCTTGGGCAGTGCATTTATCGCAGCATATAATGTGTTTTCTGGATACACTGCTGCTTTTTCAGCGCTCAGAGATTGATGGCTCTGTGTCAGAGCTGGCTATGAATTTCTGATGGATCAGGCCTTAACTTAACAAAAAAGTTATCAATCGTTCTTTTCATCTTTTCTCATTACCCACAGCTACATCCATTCTGTCAGGCCTAGGCTACTCACTAGGGCTTGGTATCATCACTGATTTCTATAATCCATTTGATTCCGATTCACAAGGTCCCGGTTTAATTCAATTTTGCTTCTGATCATTTATCAGTACTTATACATGTGAGACTTTATCAGAGGTGTGATCATCACAGCAGAGGCCTTTGTGTCAAAGTAACTGAGGATAAAACAGAAAAACATGAAGCAGATTTTACTGGCTTGCCTTTTTGTAGCAGATAACCCTAAAAATATTCTGCAATTTTGCACAATTTTAAAAAGTATACATTTCTTCAGTATATTCTTGTCTGAGGTCATTTAAGCTAAAAAAAAAAGAAAAAAGAAAGACAGCAGCAGACTGTGCTGTAAACGACGGTAGACTGGTAGGGTAATAAGCGAATGAATAATGCAAAAATTGAGATTTGAGACGGGAAACTGTTCTTGAAGTACAGAGAGAGAGAGCTGTGCATGAAGTGTGATTTTTATTGTGGTGGAAGCAAAACAGCAAAAGTCGGAGGGAATTCCTGACGATGTGAATTGTAGTTTGGATCTTGTTTTGCTGCTGGTTCAGTGAATTTTGGTTGGAGAGAGATAAAACCTGCAGCTCAGAATCCAGCACAAAAAAAGGCGTAAACACAAACCACGGACCCGCCGACGCATCAGAATCAGTGAGCTGTCGGCTTTCAGCCCCGACGGCGTGTCCGTGTACGGGCCGTCGGGTGAGAAAGCCGACAGCTCACTGACTCTGATGCGTCAGGTCCGCTCTGTGTTTACGTCTTTGTGTGGAATCCGTTTACCTGCTCTCATTTACTGTTTGGTGGTTGCTGAAATAGTTTTTGAGCTTTACTGCTTTATTTAAGCTACTCACCTCTCTCTATCCACCTGCACTTTCAACAGGACCACAGCCAATCAGAGAGGTCCCTCTCCTGACTATCTCTGATTGGTTTAGATCACGATAGAGGCATAATGTGTGTCTGTTGTTGACCACATGGAGACTTTTCTTTTTTTACTCAAACAGTTGGTCGCACCGGTGTGACCTAGGGTTTTTTTTAGTCGCACCATTGAAAAATTTGGTCGCATTTGCGACCAAATTGGTCGCACTCTAGAGCCCTGCATTATGTTTTATCATATTTGACATCTCTAGTACAACACTTATATTAATATAACGCTGAATGCAAGTATGATTCAAAAGAATAATTAACATTCAACATCACTTCTTGTGATGGTGTTAAAATCAGCCCAACTTTTATTTTCAAATGTAAAAAGGTATATGAGCCAGCATGCTGGACACTGTTCTGCTGAACAACAAACAGTTATATTACCATCATTGTTATAATCTTACAATGAAACAAAGTCTCAGATTTAATTATTCTGAAACTAAGTTTAGGCCTACCACAACTTTGTTTTGAAAGTTACCTTACTGATATAATCAATATAAAATGTATTTATTGTCTGTAGTTTAAACAACACATTTGTTTTTCATTCCAACACAGGAGCTGGTATATTCTAATATTTTAAGGATGGCTTGTTTCCAGTCCAGGCATCACTGCCTGAATGACTATCATGGATCGAGGTGATCCAAATGTAGGTGCAGAAGAAAGTCGTTAACTTCGCTTCAGTACAGTGGCAGTGGATGTGGGTTGGAGATGCAGTGAGCTTGAACCTGCAGGCGACCATCTTCACTGACAATCTGTGACGGAGGACTCATCTCTCCTGGTGTCCTGCAAGCAAACAAACATATTTTTTAGAACACCAACATATTTGCTTTCTTAAAACATTTTTTCTTCATTTACTATAGAACAGACCCCAATTTAGACAACCTCAGGCTCCGTCCCCACCGGAGAGCTGGCATTCAGTGTCCCACTTGTCAGTCTGGATAGCCGTGACCACCACCCCACACACATTAATGTTATGAAAGCATATTTTTAAAAAGGGCTCTGCAAACATGGCCAATAACTTTCATTCTGATGATCTGGAAAATAATTTGGGCACAAAACAAATTGCACTGTTCAAAAACTTGCAGACTTCACAGTGCAGACAGTGTGGTCCCTCTAAACTAAGTCTATGGGATATGATCTTTGAATAAATGCAGACCAAACTCTCAGTGTTTGTATTTACTTACACAGCATGTCTTGTAGAATTTACTGGGGTCGTCAGCAACAGCATAGTGCAGTCATATCTCAAGTCTAATAAGAGAAGACAGGAAAAGATCATGTTCTGTCTGGGGCATTCAGGGGGATTTTCAAGATTAATGAAAATGTCCGGCTTTTCCTACAGAGGACCCATATGTGTGACTCCCTTCCTGAGCTGCTGCTTTGTGAGTTGTTGTTCTGTGCTCACAGACGGGAGAGACAGCATGCAGCAGTGCCTAGTGGTGTTTAAAAGATGCCAAAGCACAACTGCAGCTTTGCAGACAAACTGCAAAAAACTTTCCCTCGTACCGTCCCGGTACTGGTAATCTTTCTTATACAGATGAGGCCTTATTTCTGTACCATTATTTAATTCCAGAGGTTTTTATGTTATTTTTTTTGCCCTTGTTTACTTGTAAAAGCCTATATCACATTTTTTAATTTCACCATTAAAAAAATATGGTCACCCTATCTTATCAAGTAGCTGCTCACGTTTCTGTTTCAAACAGTCAACAGAAAATTTCACAGAGAGCTTTTCATATAACATTTTTAAAGCTGTGGGGTTAATTTTTAAGTAACATGAGCCCAGAGGCAGCAGCAACGCTAGGCTAACACTAGTTAGCTAGCAAGTTCATAAACCTGGTGCTAAACTGAGAGAAGCCACAAAAACAGTTTGAATAAGAGTAAACATTTACTCACCAAGTCAGAGTATCACGTAAAGAATCACAGCAATGACAACAATGATCCCTTGAGCTGAAGCTTCTCCAGGTTTGCTCAACATATTCCAGAAAAAAAGCAGGCATCATGAACATGTGGACTGAGCTGTGTGAGGGACGACATGGCATTTTCAAACCATATCGTTTTATTCTTCCTCACTGAGAAGCAACATTTCCTGCTTACTTAGTTTTTCTAATTTAAGACAACTCAAATAAACTGAGTTTATCAGCTTTTTGAATAAAAAGTACTGGTAACATACTTAACCTCCTAAGACCCGAACTCTTCCACAGCATGCTTTCTTTGCTATTTGGGCTGATTGGCACCTGATGAATGTAAAAACAAAGAATTACCAGATTTTTTTTTTTCACCTAATTTTTGTTCCTGAGAAAAATGAGATTGACATATGAGGATATTTGTTTAAAATTTCGATTGAACAGTGGCAGTATAATGTCCTCGTAAGTGGATCAGGCCCTTGTAGAGCAAAATGTAGTATTTTGGTCAAAAACAACCGAAAATGTGATGTCCACATATGTGGACGCCAGGTCCTAGGAGTTTAAACTGAGTTCTAATAACAAATTGATAAAAATTGAGCTCAGTCTACTTGATATTTTTTAATTAAACACAATATTATATTTTACAGTGCATAACTGAATTGAGGGATAGAGTAAAACAAACAATAACCAGTCATTGTCCTGGGTATTTTGAGTTTTTTGTGGGGTTTGGCTCCTTTTTTCAGAACTCTTGTGTTAAGCCTTTTTATTTGGTAATGTTAGTAGGTTGTTATTTTCCATTGTGATGTATTATTCTCTTTTTGTATTCTAAATTATCTTGTTTTGTGATTCCTTTCTGTCTCCCCATTATGTCCCATTTATGTCCCCGTGTCTGTGTGGTCTCCTTTGTCCTTTCTCCATTTTCATCTGGTTTCCATGTGTAATTATGTCAAGTCAGTATATCTTAGTCCTAGTCCTAGTGTTAGTTACTTCCTGTTTTATTTTGATAGGCCTTCATCTCGTATGCATTATGTTCAGTTTTGTTTCCCTTAAATAGATGGAATGACTCTATTTAACCACGATCTCAGACTGTCCGAGATCTTGGTGGTTATGATTGGATGAACTGCTGACCCATGCAAATGATTTCAAGTATTTTAAGACCTTTTAATAATTAAAGATAAAATGGTGCAAATAAGTTGCTAAGACAAAGACAGCATGCTCCATCTTTATTGTTATTTTTAGTGTATCCAGTAATGGAAATCTACTAATTAAATAACTTGGCATCATTTCAAGAGTCTTTTGAAAATTGCACTGACATGAATTAAAATGTAAGGTTTAAAAGTAAATGAGTATTCTACTACTTTAACACATCAGATGAATTATACCTCCCGCCCATGAGGAAAATTGATAGCATGCTCAGTGAACAGAAGAAGAAGTTGTTGAGGAGAGTCAACATGAGTGCTCAGCACCAGGTAAAGCTTCATATCCTTCTGTTTTGGTTTTATTTGGCACTTCTCAAATCACTTTGTTTTAGAGATTTGTTGAAGATGATTCCCCATAGTCTAAGTGTTAAACCAGATACATTTTTGTTAACTGAAAACATTTCTTTGCAGTAATCTGATTCTTTGTGGCCTTAAGCTAAATGTGACCTTTGTCTCATGACGCCAATTTACTTTCATCATCCAGGAGGCTTTACATATATTCCCCAAAATGACAGCAGATCCTGTGGAATCTGGAGTTGTCAAAGTTCACCTTGGTGGGGAGGGCTACAACCGCAAGACTCTCAACCAAATCAAGAGGAGCATTCCTAAGCAGCAGGTGAGAAAAAGCTATGACGCTGCACATTTATGTAGTCAATACCCTGTGCCTGGTGTTACAAGCTGAAAGGCAATCTGTTGTTATCCAACAGCTGTCTAATCGCTCTGAAGGTTTTTCAAAGTTTTTCTTTTGACCTTGGCTGCTTTTTCACTAATTTTTAGTCCAGTTTTAGAGGAAATATTTTTTTGGTTGTGGAACACTGACCTATGGATCATTCAAGTATAAAAAGGGATTTAAGCCAGTGGTTTGGGGGATCTTGTCAAAATTGACGAAATAATGAAACCATAAACCTACAGTCAGATTTTCATCCACCATACATTACCATCTGGAATGCAACTTATTGGCAACAGCTTTATTTTTCAGCATGACAGTGACTTCAACATTACTGAGGCAGAGTGTAATGGTCTTGAAAGAGACCTGAACAAAATGCAACCAACATCCAAAGAAGAACTTTGAAGGTCCTTCAAGAAGCCTGGAGAATCATTCCTGAAGACGACTTAAAAGAAATACAGGGTAGCTTGCCTGAGAGAGTTGTGTTGTGAGGCTGTGTTGAAGAATAAAGGTGGTCATAACCAAATATTTACAGACTGTCAAGCTCTTTAGAATTGTACAAACTCTGGTTTTACCTTATATAATGCATTTCCCATTTTCCTAACGATAAAGAAATAATGGACTCAAAACTTTTGCACACTACATGAGTACATCATCACACCAGTTAGTCTGAATCTTTTTAATAATTATTATGTGCAGGGCATATGTCAGAGGCAAGATTTAGAAAAATCCACACAGTTCAGTACAGTCAGTACAATTACAATCAGTAAAAGAAAAGCATATAACCTTTTGTAGACACTAAGGATATTTCTATTGACTTTTTCACAAACATTTTTTTGTTAGTTTAAATCTATTTTAAAAATTATAGGTTTTATTTTTATTTTAACTAAATAAATAGTTTAACACGTTTAGGTTTAGTTTTTGTTAACTATAAAACCCTTCACCATCACCAGAGGGACCTTTTTTAATTTTAATGAAAGAAACTGTTACATTTTTTGTAAAAAGTAAACATGAATCTTATGTCCTGTCTTCCTCCCCTCACCCTCAGCTGGTAGCGGTAGCTCTCCCTCCCTGAGCCTGGTTTTGCCGGAGGTTTCTTTCTGCTAAAAGGGATTTTTCTTCCCACTGTCACCAAAGTGCTTGTCTACAGGAGTTCATACAATTGTTGGGGTTTTGTCTGTGGTATTGTGGGCTGTTTACCTTACATTATAAAGCACCTTAAGTTTCACCTTCAGTTTTATTTCTTTGGTGCAATATAAATAAAACTGAATTGAATTGAATTAAACACAACATCACCTCAAAGGTTAAGAAACATCACAGTTTTGTTAAATATTTAGGTTACCTACTATGTGTACAACTTTCTTTAATTCAGTTCAGTTCAATTCAATTTTATTTATACAGCTCCAAATCAAAACAATAGTCGCCTCAAGGCGCTTTATATTGTACAGTAGACCCTACAAGCATACATACAGAGAAAAACCCAACAATCATATGACCCCCTATGAGCAAGCACTTTGG